GAATATTTAATAGTTCTTAATTGTTTTCAATCGACTAGAACAACTCGTAGCAATAATATAAATCACGGACTTATTCAACGACCAGAAAAGAAATCAAAAGTAAATTACCGGAAGCCAAGCACAATAGAAAAACGTCGTGAAATAGCAATGAAAAAAGTCAAACATAGTATTTTTATTGATGATATGCCTGCAGAATACCGTTCATTTGCATTTGGTCGTCGTCGCTCGAATGATCAAAAACGACCCTCGACTTCATCAATGCCACAACCAACTAGCGAATATGATGATACACCATCATCTCGTAAAGCATCTACAAGTCGACCAGCATTTTTAAATAATAAATCAAGTAGTTCCCCAACTATGAGATTAACACTCAATACACCGACGAATTCTGCTCAAGTAACAACATCAATCAGTGATGACGGTGGTGTTTATTGTGGTAGTTAGACACATAAAATAAACGTGAAATTCTTTTTTTTTGTTTTTTGTTCTTTGTAATATAAATGTTATTTTTATATTATATAAAAGAGAGAAGAAATATTTAACATATAATCATTTCTTTTTCATACTCAATCAAAAGTTCTCATTAGAGTTGAAGAATGTCAAAATATGAATAGTTTCTGTTTGTTTATGAAACAAATTCTTGAAGCGAATATAACTTAAAGGGGAAATGAATTCTACGATATGCACTTACCAGATTTCTTAATACAATCATGCAATAAATTTTCTTTACTTCATTTATATATATATATCTATCTGATAAAAATTTCAGTCTATACACGCCAGGGTTAAGAATAGGGCAGCATCAACATCCTTAAAAAATATTTTCTAAAATGATAACTATTTCCGTACAAATACAACTATAATGGTACTTATAATTGTAGAGCACTTAGAGCGTTCAATCGAAAGTAGAAATGTAAAGAAACCGACGATAATTACGAATCAATATTTAAATTGTTGAATTTATGTTATGTCATAAAATGAAAATGCGGTGCAAAAGTTTATTGATATAAAAAAAGAAAAAACTGATCTTGTTCATATCGCAAATCATTCATTTTGTTTTCACTTAGTGTATGTTTTGATAAGCACGGGTGTTTTTAAAAGAGAAAAAAAGTTATAATGGCAATAACAACAACAATAAACAACAACAAAGAGAAGAAAAAACATTTCCTACAGAGCAAACCACACGCGCAAACAATTATGTTGAGAATTAATGCCTTGTTTTTTCTTGATTACATCGTTTCGATCTAAATTAAAATTTAAAAAAAGAAATATATATAGAAATTTAAAATATAATAAATTAATTTACAATATCGTCAATCTTTAAAATTGATCGAACTGTTTCAGTAGCTAAACGAATAGCACTAACAGAAACAAGTAATGGTTGAACAACATTCTCTTCAAGAATATTTGAGATAAGACCCTAGAAAAAAATATTTCAATAATTATTTTGAAATTAATTCAAATAAAATATATATACTTTTCGAACATTAATGCCAGCATTGACATCATTTTGAGCATGACGATTTCTTAATTCGGTTACAGTTGCAATTGGATTTAATCCAGCGTTTTCAGCTAATGTATAAGGAATAACCTCAAGTGCTTCTGCAAATGCTCGTATACAATATTGATCAACACCTGATAGACTTTGAGCATATTCAGCTAAACGAACAGCTAATTCAATTTCGGGTGCAGCACCACCAGCAATCAAAGCTCTATATATAGATAACAATAAATCAATTTGTTGTTTTTTTGTTTTTATGAAATAACAAACCGTTCTTTAACAAGACATCGGATAACACAAAGAGCATCATGAATTGATCGATCAGCTTCTTCAAGTACTAGTTTGTTTGAACCACGTAATAAGATTGATACTGTATGACCTGGATGTGCAACGCCCGTGATCTAATAAAGTAAATATAAGCATACTTAAAAAATAATTGAATTTCTATTTTTAATATTCTCGGAGAAAAAGAACGGTCTAGTTCTATATATGATTTTCATAATTTTTCTTTTTTAAGTAACTTTTATACGCAAAAATAAAAGAACACCGATAAATTATTGAATACATTAATATTCTCCTACACAACAGTATGACTTTTTTGCATCTAAATAACTCTACAGGTGATTAAAATTTTATTGAAATATCAGAAGAACGCTTCAGTAATTCTTTCAATTTGACCTGATTTTGTATAATCTCATTTTATTATTTTTTGTCTTTCAAGTATGAATTTTTAATGCACCTTGAGTTCTCGCTTTAATAAATAATTGTGAATATTTATATCATAATATGTAGCAAGACGTAGGCGAGTGTCCTGATAATGCTCTTTTATATAATTATAATACTTATTTTGTCGAGACATTTTTTGCGAAGTATAAAAATACCTTTTTTCTAATCGGGAAATACAGAACATATATTTAGATCTGATTAGAAAAATCAACAAAAAAGTCAGAATTTTAAAATTACTACACCTACACGATCCGTCTGGGTACATCTGCCCTTTGTTTTATATTATACACGAGAGATATATGATAAGAAAATATAGGAAATAATATTAAAAATAAATTTTGTTTTTTGTCTAAATACCTTAACAATTTTGTCGGAACCAGCAGTAATTTCTTCAACAAGTTCAGCTGTACCTAACATATCCTGATTAAAATGATCTAAACTTGCAATTGGTTTACAACCGAGTGTCTAAAGACAAAATATATTATTTATATATTATTTTTCATAATAATAAAGCAAATGTACTTTAGCAATGAATGGTACGTCTTCTCGTTCAACATCTTTAACAATTAAAATTTTCATTTTTGCTAAATAATGGATGGCTAAGTCACTAATAGCATCACGTAAAATTGATTTTTGAATGAGTAATACATTGCAACTTGTTTTTTTAATTTGTTTGATTATATTTAATATATATTGACGTTCTTCTTTAATGACACGATCCATCTGAGCATGATCACTAATAATAACGGCATTTTCCATCTAAATTATTTAGAAACACTTTCTTAAATGGAAATAGAAAAATTATGTTAATTACATCAGTTTTTGGTGGTGAAATGCAAAATTGAATTAAAGCTATTTTAGCTTTTTCAATACGTGTTGGTGCACCGAAACCAATTGTTTTTTGATCGAGAACAAGACCATCAACAAGTTCTGTGTCTTCAATAGTGCCACTTGAAAGAAGAAGAAAAAAACAAAAGAAAATATTAAAAATATCTGATATTCTTTGAATTATTTTTACCCTAATTTTTTAACAATACGAATATCGCGTAAATCAACATTACGATCAACTGCTGGATCAATGACTTTAAGTACTGCTTGTACGGCCATTGGAGCAAGAAGATGAGTATGTTGTGAAACGACCTGAACACATACATAGCAAAATTTTTATAAAAATGTTTTTATTTTCTATATACTTTTGAGTTTAATGCAGTTGAAGCACTTCGATGTAATGAGTCTTTATCACTGAGTTCTATAGGTATACTAATACTTTTAAGAATTTCTGTTGCTTTATCAGCTGCTTTTTCAAATGCTTCAGCAATTGCTGTTGGATGAAGACCTAAATATTTTTAAATAAAAATAATAATGTACTATTTCTTTTATTATATTTTGATGAATTAATATTTAGTATGCTTTTATATCTTCTTGATAAATGATTAATAACACCAAATTAAGCTAAGAAGAAAAAATGTCTACTTCATTTTTCATTGTATTCTAGTGAAAAATCTTGTACTACGCACAGGAAATGCACTCGTAATTCAATCAGTAAAGTATACTACTCAGTAAATGAGAGCCTTTCAAAGTACTGTTGTAGGCGAAAGTTGTCTGATGTCTGAGGATATATTATTTCATTGTAAGTACGAGTAGAAATATTGAAACTTGATAGATCCTAATGAATTATTCATAAATACTTATCAATATTATATATAGATCCTATCAAGATCTGTGTTCAGGATAAATGGAAATTTGTTTTGTGAAAAACTTAATCTGGGTTAGATTTCTAAGTAAACCAAATTACAAGTAAAACATTCGTTTTAGTTGAAGCTCAAATATTATTAGACTACTATGCAATTTGATATAGTTTTTCCTATTACCTTTTGCTACAAGACGACTAGCAGCATCAAGTAAACTACCAGCAATAACAACAACTGTTGTTGTACCATCACCTGCTTCGATATCTTGTGCCTTAGATAATTCAACTAACTTAAAAAGAAAAGAAATATTTTAAATTTATTTATAGAACAAAAAAAAAACTAATGAAATAAATAAACAAACCATTTTTGCAGCTGGATGAATAACAGACATTTGTTTAAGAATAGTAGCACCATCATTTGTAATTGTAACCTCACCATTACCTGATTGAATCATTTTATCCATACCACGTGGTCCTAAACTTGTTCGTACAGCATCAGCAACAGCTATAATGAAATTTTTTTTCAAATAAATTAAATATTATTACAAGTTTTCTTTTTGGCGAATTACCTTTGGCGGCAACAATGTTTGAATTTCGGATAGCATCAGGTCGTTGACGTGTTTTAAACCCTGAATCACCCATTTGGCCAGATCCTGGTGCTCCTTTCATATTGGCAGCGACTGATGCAAATGATTTTGTTGAATCACTGGTTGTCATATCTACGATATTATCTTAAAGACAAAGAAACAAACAATACAATAGTTAGATATTTTGTTTTTTTGATTTTCAAGTTAACATATGTATGTGCTATCGAACGACGAGATTCGAAATAATCAATGATTATCGGGACAAAAAAAATTAGACAAATCAAAAAAAAAAGGTTAACAACAGCAAAAAAGACAATCTCTAATAGACATATATATATTTTCAACAGAAACAAAGAGAAAGAAAAAGATTTAGATACGAGTAGTTGTTTGTTATACTTCCGTGATTTTGAATCAAAGCACTATACAAAGAAAAAAAAAAAGCCTTTTTTTTTTTCTTGTTTATTCTTCATTTTAATCAATCTTGAGTATAAGATTAATAAGCACGTTCACGATAGCGTGACGAGGAGTATCGGCTTGATGATGATGGTGGTGGAGGTGATGGTGAATGATGGTATGAGCGACTACCACCATTATGTGAACCGCGATGATCACGATCGCGGTCACCACGATCACCACGATCACGATCACCACGATCACGATCACCACGGTCACGATCACCACGGTCACGATCACGATCACCATCTCGTGAATGTTGATTTTGTTGTTTATATTGTTTTGCTGCTTCATGATGATCGTAAAAACATCGATCCGAATAACGACAAAAACCATGACGAAGATAATACCGACAAGGTAATGTCCTTGAGATTAAAATAAAATAAAATATTTTTTTAAGAATTATTTAATTGAATATCTTTATAAAGAAGAAGATAATTAAATATTCCATATATACAAACGTTTTAAGGCTAATACTGGTATATATAGAAAACACAGCACATCTATACATACATTTTGCAAAATATTTTGATATAAAAATTTCATATGTATATGTAAGATATAAACGATATAAAATATTTTGTTAAATCTGCCAAAGTTAATTGGATATAAATTCTAACAAACAGCCAGATTAATTAATGATACTCGTTTAAGTGATAATTAATATTAAATAAAATAAATCTGTATTTAAGAACAATGGGCTTAATCTGAGGAAGAACTCGATTGACGAATAAAAACACAGGTCTAGAAGAATGATAGAGTAATAATAACTGTCAATATATTCCCTAATAGTATGGATTAATTGTTAATGTGATATCTTTCTCATTTATAAAAAAAAAATTTTTTTTGAAAACTTACTTTAAATGACCTTTATGTTTTTTAACAAGACGATATTTATCATCTTTATTGTCAAACCAGTTTTTACTTGGTGTTATAAATGCTGAACGTACTTTACATACTGGACAACTAAATAAAAAAAATATTCTATGTTTTATTTTTTTTTATAATAATTATTATTTACCTTTCCGATTCAGCATTACTATATTTTGAACGTTTCCATGAAACAATACATTCATAACAGCTAAAATTTAACCGTTTAATATAAATCTATTTTAAAAATCTACATACAAAATATGATCGCAATTATCTAATACACCATATAAGCGTTTGGCTGCTTCAACATCGCATGAACAGAGTGCACAAATATGTCGACCAGAATCAGCATCACTGCCTTTTCTACGACGTCGTTTTGATGATGAATTCGATTGCCGAGGTGGAGATGGTGAACGATGATTATTATTATTGTTTGCATTATTACGCACAGCAGGTGATTTTGAACCTTCAATTGAACTACGACTACGTGATCGAGATGTTGCCGAACGTGGCGAAGGTGTACGACTGAATGTACAATAAAAATAAATAGAGAAAAAGAAAACCAAATGTTTTTGTTTTACTTCGAATTGTCCCGGCGACGTTTTTGTACTGCCGATGATTGACGAGCATTGTGTCCATTACTTTCTTTTTCATCAGCAAGAGTAACACTTGAATGAGAATGAGATTGTGGCAATGGATCAGGTGAAATTGACCGTTCTGAACTCATTCTTATGTTAACGCACAATGATTTGAATCTGAAAGAAGAAAAAAAAAAATATCTTACAACATTCCATCAACAAACAAATAAACAGACGAATAGGCAGATAGAAACAAATGTCGTATACTAATAACAATTGCTTAGCAAAGAAAAAAAACCATGAAGATTTGTTTGTTCGAATAAATTTTCAAAATTTTATATTTTCCATCATTTATTAAATTAAATTATGATTTTTTTCAGAATATTTTATTTTTTAATGTTAGATTAATATTTCGATAGATGTCATATTAATCTATTGATTTTTATATGAAGGTCGTTGCTAAGAAATCAAGTCGAATGAGAATGCAAATGATAAAAATGTATGATTGATTTTTCTATTATTATAAATCGATTTTTATCCTAAATATGGATGAACGTCACTGGTGGATTGCTGCTAAAGTTGAGCAAACATTTTGTATTGATAAAACTTCAACTGCTGATGCATCATTTACTGAAACATTCTTTCGACGACCTGATGTACTCGAAAAAATCAATAGTTTTCTATGTGCAAAAGGTTCAAATAAATTATTTTTCTATACAACACGAGATCATCTCTATTCAAAAGAAATAATGTGCTGTAATAATATTGTTGATGAATATATACTCGTCAATGAACCATTAGATAATCTAATTATATTATTTTTTGTTCGTTCGGATACAAGTTCTGATGCAACTGTATCACCTGTATCTGATATTTATAGTGGAGAAATTAAACATCCAGCACAAATGACAACATTACTTTATGGACAAACATTATTACCATTGTTTAAGAAAGAATTAACACCGAGTTCAAATGATAGCTATAATCAAATAGCGACAAAAACAACAATTGTAACTCAAATGGAAAAACAAATTGATGGAATCAATGCGACATGTAATTCTTTACAAAAAGATAAGAATTTAGTAAGTATTAAATAATATCATTTTTCTAAACATCTTCTTAAGAAATAAATATTCATATGTGAACTATTTAGTTGGATATAGATTGATTTCAATAACCATTCCTGAATTTAATGTAGTATAAACAATTTTGATCATTGTTTGAATTGCAAGACATCGGTACTTTTCTCATAGTCTTCAAATAAATATGCATAACTGTATATTTCTTTATACTCACTTCATCATTAATTTAGTTTTTATTTACATACAGAATTTTTACTTGCTTTTAGCCATTATTTTCGAAGAGGAGAAAAAAAGATTAATCAATTTATATTTATTTTAGTTATTGAAACGTGCTGATGCTGAAATGTTAAATCAATTGAAACAAACTGGCCGCTCAACAGCTGATAGTCCAGTCATTCGTAATTGTGAAACATTAGTTTTATCATGGATTACAACAATAGAAAATGTTCTTCAAGATATATTTGGAGAAGAGTAAATTTATTCTAACAAAATAATTTATTTTATCAAATAAAATTCTTCTTCATCTTTAGTTCAACACATCCATCACTTGGTCCATTGAGTGAAATTGATCGATGGGCACGTAAACAACGTTTAATTAATAATTTACTTGAACAATTAAAATCTAAAGAATGTAAAGCCGTCATTGGTGCATTGATTACATCAAAATCCAAAGTTATACGAAAATGGAAAGCTATTGATGTTTCGTAAGTTTTATTTTAATCAATTTAATATATATATATTGTTCTCTAAATTAGTATAACAGAAGCACAAAATGAATGTCGTGATAAAACGAAATTTCTTGAATCAATTCGACGTTATTTAGAAAATTTAACTGAAGATAGTCATCCACAAAATTGTGCTGTTAATATTTTACCAGCATTATGTGATGCAATGAGAACTGTTGAATCTGTATCAAGATATTATGCGCGACAAGGTTATTTAGGTTTAATTTTTTCTAAAGTAACAAATCAATTAGTTAAAATATGTAAACATCATATTAATGATGATTTATCACAACTTTGGCCAAAACTTTTTAATGAAATTCAATCTGGAGGATCGGTTGATGATACAAAAGAGAATTTTCATCTTGATAAACGAGTATGTTATTAATAATATTTCTTCACTCGATTTTAATTTTAAAAATAGGATATAAAACGTTTTCGTGAAGTTCCAAAAGGTTCAGTACCAATAGAATCAAATACGAATGATGAAAGTGTCTATCAACGTTTAAAAAATTGTCTTCTTTTACAAGCATCTTATAAAGAAATATTTCGTGCTTTACGAGATGCACTTGGTGGTGCACAAATGTTAACAACAACAGCTTTTTCATCCGCATCATCAACAATAAGTGGAACGACGTTAGTTTTAGAATTGAAATTTTATTTAAAATATTTTTATTTTATAATTAGAAATACTCACACACGTGATCAAAGTCAATCAAGACATCAGATAAGACGATCAAGTGGAATCTTAATGGCTGAAGATGAAAAAATTTTTGAAAATTTAGAAGATTTTTCTCGTCGAATTGAACAAATGCTTGATATGACAATAACACTTAATCAATTTTCACAGTATAATTAAATATAGACATAAATTATTTGTTTATAGTTAAATTGAATTCTATTTTAGACTCATTGTTTCAACAGTTCGATTACCTAAACCAAAACGTAAAGATTTAATTGATGCAGAAAGTCTTGTTAATCGTAGTGGTATAATGAATAATTATATTTATATATATATTTGAATGATTATTTTAGATGTTTCAAAACATGAAGAAGAAGAAAGAGAAGATGATAATGAAGATAACAATACTGATAATATATCAGATGAGGGAATTGATGATCCAAATAGTGATTCCGGGACACCTACTTATGATTATCTTCATTCATCTGTGTCAAAAACTGATCTTGATCTATTAAGTATGTTTCTATTATTGTATAAATTTTTTTAATATTAGTTTTTATTTTAATCAAAAACAACAGAAAAATATTATTATGATGATGATGAATCTTTACCATTAAGTGTATTTATTGCTCAAGGTGTTGAACAACTTAAATCACTTTTAATAGATAATAATAATAGTCCAACAAATGACGAAGAAAAAACGAAGTATTTTTTGATACATTATTGTTATTCATTTAACTCTTTTTTATCTTTTAAGATTTGATTCAATTCATAAGAATTTTACTTCAATAACACATGAAATTGAACAAATCATTGGTGCCTATCTTAATGTTACGTTTTCTAAAACAAAACGTACTCAAGAAGGTTTAACTATATTAGCAAGTTTTGAGCCTGTCTGTGAACGAAATTATCTTCGTCCTATCCTTCGAGATGCTTATGTTAATTTATTTCTAAGTAATTCGTTTGTTTTTTTTATCTTATAATATTGTTTTATTTTTTATTTTTTACAAGATTTTGAAAATGATTTGATGGATATTCGAACAACATTCGAAGCACAAAAAGATGATCCACCATTACTTCGAAATGCACCGCCTATTGCAGGTAAAATTCTTCTACTCTTTTTGAACAAAAAAAACGAGATTTTCTTAAGGTGCTATTGCTTGGTCACGAACATTATTAACAAAAATTGAAAAAGCAATGGATATATTTAAATTAAATCGACATATAGTTGCATTAGGAAATTTTGCAGTCGTATCAAAACTTTATAATCGTACAGCTAAAATGTTACTTGTCTACGAACAATTATTATTGGCAAGATGGAAAGAAAAAATCGATGCATGGAAAGATCATTTAAATGCTAGTCTATTACGTTTAAATAAAAATAATGACCATAACAGACAAATAGAAATTAATTCAAATATTGAATTATTTTCAATATTTGATGAAGTTAAATGGTTTAAACGGCTTGATGTAGATATTCCAAAAGCAGCACTTATTTATATGCAAAAGGTAATTATATAGAAAAAAAACAATGATCAATACTGTTAGATTTAATAATTTTAAGATCCTACAAAAGAAGTTATTTTACTTGTTACCGTTGACATGGTAGTTGAGGGTGGGTGTGGGTGGGTGCCGCTAATCTAGTCCACCTGCTAGCTAATAAATGAGAACATTTTGTTCATTTCTGCTATATTTATTTTTTTCTAGGAACAATCATTTAAACAATATAAATCTTTACTTGAAGATCTTCTCTCACGTTTTTATAATTTACAATCTCAAATCTATCCACCATTTTATCCATTATTTACTAGTCAATTAGCTCAAATCTATCGAGCATTTGAACCTGGTCTACATACAATAAATTGGTCAAATCTTAATATTGATGTTTATATGACAAAAGTTCATCGTGCACTTGATCGTTTTGAAACATTCATTTCAAATATTAATACATTAATTGCAGAAAAAATTGATAAAATTCTTGATAATGAATTAATGAATTCATCATATCTTCTATTTTCAATAGATTATATACATTCAAAATTATGGACACCAGCAGAATTTTTTGAAAAAATGTCTTTACATATAAATGAACAAGCAATATTAATTGGTAAAAAACTTTCTGAAGTACAACGAAGATTTCAAGAAGTTGAAGATATGGTAAGATTAAATTCTTCTGGACAAAAAACTCCTTCATCAAGTTCATCAACACGAAGAGCAAAAACACCAACGATTACACAGGAAGCTATGATGACATTTATTAGATATTATCAAGATAAAATGAATCATTGTATACAAATAATAATCGAACGAACATTACGTGCATTTATTCAATTAGCTTCTGTATCCAACGACATATATTTATTTGATCAAACAAAATTAATTCGACTTTTATTTGAAGTACCAAATATTAATGAACAATCGAATAATATTGATACACAACGAATCAGGTACATTTATTTGATTCTACTATAAAGAAAATTTTATCCCGATTGTTTGTTTTTTAATGAATTTAGAATTGCTTCTACAATGCAATATGCTATACCTGAAATAACTATTAATCCAGAAGTAATCATTTGTCAAAAATCTGTTTGTGATGTTGCATATGCAATTCTTAATTGTGAAAAACAAATAAGTGGTATGAACCTTTTTTTTTTTAATATAAA